GAAATCACACTCGGCTATTCGAGACCATGATTCCACATTGTCTGGCCCAAATGTTACGACCTGAATAGTTTCGTAGTTGATTTAATACGGATGACCTTAGGAGTATGGTCACCCATGGAAAAATATATATACTTTAAAAATAGTACAAGAACAAATACAAAATGAAACGAACTCACCGAATTTGTCTGCATATATATCAAAAATGAATTTCGCTGTAGGGCTCATCAGTCCAGAGGCTAAGGGTGTTGACATTCATGGATGATACGAAGTATACTGACGCAAGATCTTATACACACAACTTCTGTAGTATTCGTTACTCGTAGACCAAAGGCAAAGCGAAACACCAGAATTGACCGTCCAAATTACGAATTATATTTCCGGACCAAATCGGAGTGAGAGATGATTGCTTAACTAGCTAGGGGTCGTGCGCGAACGAATGAATGTAACACGACAGCGTACGAAATGGCGTGGATGCTTGACCTGAAGCCTTCAGCTAATCAAATCGGCTAAAACAGTGAGAGTCAGCATCCAATGTTCAGTGATGAATGCTGTGGCCAATAATTCTGGGGAATTACCTACCGCCACAAAGCTTAGCATGACGAAAAAAGCAGCAAATATTCTAGTTTTGGTGAAAAACATCAATAAAGCACCTTTAGAGTAGACAAAGATAACATTTTAAGTGCCTACGACACTCATCCCATTAAACATACGATATAAGTTACAAAAGTTCATGCACAACACCAGCCACTTGAATAAATTCAAACTGCATTCCACCGCCAATGTTCTGTTCTTCCAATAGAGGTGTAATTGGAAATGAGAAGGAATACAGTAAACATTCTAGATGTTATTACACTTGGTTGTTTTAAAGGTCATTAGCAAGACTGACGTTTTTCTAATTAATATTGATTTGTAAAAATCAATGGAATTGTAATTCAAGAAAGGTGCATAGGTTATAATACGCATAAAAAAGCAATAGTAAATAGAATATCAAATAAAATTAAGATGATTTCTACAGTCACAAATTAAGGATCATTAAAACCTTGATTGACAGCCAAGGTAAGAAGAGCGTCTGAGCTTACCAACTTCTTCTGATACAAAGATGAGGCTTCTTAATGTAGATTCGAACAGCCAGCCTCAGCAATATGTGCAATAGACGAACTCTTGAGGTAAAATTAAGATTAGCTGGTATACGGTAGATGACTTTGAAAGCCGCCTTGTTAACATCAATTTTGTGTTCTGTATCCACGAGATGAGATAGTATAGAACTAGGAATGGACTTTGTTTGTCCTTTACTTAATCACTGTGCATGATGGTGTTTAGGAGTCTGACGATAAACACACCTAATTCTACGGCCTATGTAAATGGCTGGGTTCATAGGAGCAGTCAAACTGATGGATATTCATAGAACAGACGGAACTAGGTTGTTTGTCTTTAACTCGCAAAAGTAAAATAGGGGAGGTATCGAAGAAACAGCATAACTTAGCGGTATTCCTTAGGCATTGTGTTAATATCTCACTGATGTTATCACCAAAGAAGAAGTGAAGTTGAATTATTATTATTATTGTTCCCTTGGGTTCCTAGTGGAACATAGGGCTTCAACTACACGTCTCCACTTGCTTCTGTCTTCTGCTGTACTTTTCACCTGCATCCATGTTGGTCCATACTGTTTCAACTCTTCTTCACACGATCTCCTCCATGTCACCCTTGGACGTCCCACTCGCCGCTTCTCTTTCGGGTTCCACTCGAGCTATGGCCTGACGCGCGATGTCACCCAGCGGCCTCCTCAGCGAGTGTCTAATCCATCTCCACTTTCTCCTGCATATTTGTTAGGCGATCGGTTCTTGTTTTGTTTGTTCCCATAGTTTCTTGTTGGTGATTCTTTCCGGCCATCTGATCTTCAGTATAGAGCGAAGACAGCTGTTGATAAAGGTGTGCAACAGGCTGTTGGAAATATTCTTTGTGACCCGCCAAGTTTCTGATCCGTATAGCAAAACTGACTTGACGTCGTTTGTATTGAAAATCCGAATCACTTTGTTGTTGATGCAGGCTGAGTGACGAAGATTTCCAGATTGGTTTCAGGTTGATGAATGTGTTTCTCGCCTTCCCGATTCTCGATTTGACATCCTCGTCCGTTCCTTCTGTAGTTGAGACGATGCTCCCTAGATAAGTGAATGAAGTAACCTCTTTCTAATCCTTCTCGTTGACTGCTGTGGCTTTCGATTCATATTCCTGTGGATGAATTTCTCCGGGTAAACATTTTCACTCAGTAACTGCTTCATAATTCTGAGCTCGGCAAAGTTGAACTTTAAGCATCACTAACTACTAATCATAGAATGACCTCAAAAGCACCAATCACGTGAAAGAGGCATTTTTGTGTATGGAACACATATATTTATGAAAAAATGCATAAAATCTGTAGAAACGTGTTACAGAGGGTACCTTCCTTTCACATGTGATAAAAATAGCTCTCAGTTTTAGCTTGGAGTATCAACAGAGTATAATTCCATTGTGGGTGAAATTTATGTTGATAAAGTTTCACATTGTAATACAGTAATATTTCCTGAGAAATAAATTGTGCTCGAAATGTCATCAGTAAATATTACTGTATAACACCACTGTGAGACTTTATCAAAATAAATTGTACTCACAATGGAATTATACTCTACTACAGTGCACTAGTTGTATTCTTATATCAACAGAGTAATTTAACCACATTCTGTGCATGTAATTATTTAGGTCTTCTAACCCTATCAATAAGCCTAATCTTTCCTGAGCCTAACCCCAACGTGAAAATATCCCTAGACTATCTTTTCTTTTATTCCTTCACGTTCCGAGTGGAACATAGGGCTTCAAGCTAGAAGCTTGAAGTTTCTGTAGCAGTGTTTATTTTTACACGATGGGGTTGCTAGCCTCATGCCCAACCTTTCCTCTTTACCAGCTTTTATTTCCGGCTTAGCGAGGTAAAGGAGTGCGTCGGTCGGGAATCGAACCCCGGACCATGTGCATGGTCGGCGAGCGTCCCAACCGCTATGCCACCGACGCATCCCTAGACTAACCGTAATCTAACTCGAACCAAACCTACTGTCGCCTTTGTTAGGTTAACCTAACCCTCCCTTGACCTTGGCTTAAACCGTAAATTAATCTTTCCCAAACCTAAGCTGAAACTTGCCAGATATCCTATTTAATAGCATATCACTTTGATGAGCATATTTTATTGATGATGACAACATTATTTGCCAGGTTTCACTAACTTGCTCAGTGAGCACTTCAAGGTCATTGGTGCTGTTGCACTCCATTGGTAGTTAGTGGTGCTCAAAGTTTAACTTGGCCCTGAGCTCTTAATGAAGACATTCATCAGAGCAGATTGCTCTTGCTCTGTGGACCAAACACTTTATTAGCTTGCGTCTATATTTAATGACAATAATGATAAAGCTTTATTTCAGACAATATGTGAAGATATAGCACAGAAATTCTCAGCCTATTTAGTTCCAAAATATTTCCTCTTCATGTCGGATTCACATGTAAAGTAATAATCTGAAGCGTATCATGTTGTTGCTTTGCAGAGTTGTTGCATATGAAGAGAGAACTAAGTCTGTAAGGTTTCTTTTCATTTCTTTCAAGAATTGTACAGCGTTTAATTGGAAACTAACTAAATATGCGCGCGGATTCTTTTAGTGTTCATCTAATATAATTGCACTATTAAAACAATATTAAATGCAGAAGAGGTTAGGCATTTTCATGGATGGAAATACACCTATCCCTGTGATTTAGGTAGGCCACAGTATGAAGCTCAAAAATTTAGTATACTGATCAGTTGATGTAAGTTTTCACTTCCAAACACCCTTGTGACTAGAAAAAAGACGGTATTAATCATAAGAAGTGTATATAGAAAACGCTACAAGAATTCCCCTTTATAAATTTGAGCAGAGTAAGAACAAAAACTTGGTGCGAAATAATATGGATTCATTTTATTTCTCCGGCTCTCATCAGCTGTCTACAACCTATAATCTTTAATCAGTAAACGTCAGAGTAAAATTTAACGTGCTTCTGTCTATCAATAAGCATGTTGTAAGAGCGTCATAGGAAGATGAAACATCAGGAGGATAAGGTATCTGAAGTATTACAGTACATATATATGGATTGTTAGGGGGAAGTTTCTCGAAAAATCAGTAGACAAATTTGTTGTTAGTGTGGTAACAAAAAACTAGCAGCAATTAGTTAATTAGATAAGGTAACATCAAGTACCTGCAGTATTTCATACCAGTTCAAATGTATCTGCGAGAGTAGTTACATTTGAAAATCAGAGAGAAGAGCCTGCGTCAAATTCTTCGAAAATGTACCTAAGAGCTTCCGGTAGAAAAGGCCAAGTAGTTTAAGCTTTTCAATTACTGAACACCTGATGGACGCTGGACACCAAGTAGACGCGCTGATATTGTTCAAAATGATTAACAGACGAAATAGCTCAAGTCTTCTTTAGTTTGCTGAGGCTATCGCAACAAAATGCCTGAAACCTGACTTGTATGTCTAAAAGGAATCTGTGATTGGACTTCAGTTATCTTGGTAACTCATCCCTTAGTAACTCCTCATTTTGTAACCTCATTGACTTATCTTCTCATCTCCCCTTCCTTTTTTTCCGTTTCACTTCCATAAGTGATACTTTTTTCGACCGTTTGAGTTCTACTTACCGTATTACATGATCACCTTTTCATGTGACCTCTTGTAGACTAAATTTTCATCTTCTCTTATCTAACTACATGACTGATACCAGTTTTTCGTTACCATCCTAACAGCAAATTTGTTCACTGATTTTTCGAGAAATACTGTAATACTTCAGATATCTTATCCTCCTGATGTTCCATCTCACTATGACGCTCTCGCAACATGCCTGTTTGTAGACATAAGTATGTTAAATTTTACGCTGCCGTTTACTGATGAAAGATTATAGGTTGTAGACAGCTGATGAGAGCCGGAGAAATAAAATGAATCCATATTATTTAGCACCAATTTTTTTGCTCTTTCTCTCCTCAAATTCCATCTTTTGTTTATTACACACTACAGTCAAATGATCATTAATTAAGTAAAACAAGAAATACCAAATATACAAATAAAGGAATAAACACTATGTAGGTCATCAAGTTGGAGCAGGGAGTCTGGTCGGGTGTAAGGTGAATAATGTCTGCTAGAAAATATTTAAACAATTCCGACAAAAACAAGTGAATAAGAACATTTTCTGAGCAAACAACTCTGATGTCAATAACTTCTTCTTCTTCAGGCTCTGCAGATATAAATCGATGGAAAAATTAGAAGAGAAAAACAGTCAGTAAAGACAGATTGAAATTACACGGAAGACTGTATTGGAATACAAGTATAAGATGGAATGCATATTATGACGAAATCTTACTAAAAGAAAAACAGAAATGTGTCATACAAATTTGCACTAAAGATGCCGTTGTCCAGGAAGACAATGATATATATCTAGGGCAGTTTTCAACCATCCAGAACAGGGAAAGCAACCATTAGAAGAAGAAGAAGAAGAAAGGAAAAAAAGTATTTCATCAGACAAATCATCTTCTCAGTATTCAGCAGTATTTCAACAAAAACTGATTTGTTCTTTCCAGGATATTGTTTTTCTTTTGATTGACAATAATACAGTAGTAATAGCTGATGCAATTTCAATCGGTGTACAAATGACTATACACGCCATGATGAACAGTAAACATTGTTGAATATGACCGTCCAGTTGAGCAGCACAACCCTTAAAGTGAATATAAAAAAGATAGATAAAGAAGTGGAAATTAAGTGTTTATGTGTGTATGTATGTGCGTGTCCAGCAAGACATTCAATGAAGAATAAGACGATGTCTTATACTTTGGAACAACACCTTTCCAAGCGAACAGTGATATTGTGCTTTCAATTAGATCTAAAATCATTAGGTCTAAAACCATACTCTCAGACCCCCAAACACCCCCTCTATTCCCAACTCTCGCCTTGTATATCTTCAAGTAGAACCAGAAATCAGTATAAAATAATTTATGCTCGCACAACCAAGTACAGGAACTCAACGATACCATACTTGGCCCGTGTTCTAAGCGACAGAGACAATGTTAAGCGCGAAACCTATGACTTGCTTTGTTGTTAACAACATAATTTTAGGCTCTTTTATTTCTCTCTTATTTTGTATTCTATAGTGAACTCCTTCTTAAACATACTTAGCTACCTAAATTATTAACATTGGCTTACTTTTGTGTACTTTACTCTATTCCTTCTTTTGTGTATCTACTGGTTCCGACTATATTAGCACTATGAGTATCACAAAATTGTCCTGTCATTAATCATCATGTAATTGTTAGTTTTATGGTTGTTTTTTCTTATTTTTTATTTTTATTTGGCAATATTAACTGACAATCATTGGTTGTGAACGTCATTATCACCATCTTAAAATTTTGTATTATGCAGGATTACTCACACTACTACTACAAACACCGCATTAGACCTGACAATAAAAGAAACAGACCAACCCTGAAATGTTATTTTATGTTTGTTTAGTATGGTTTTAACCAAATTAACTGATCATCTTGGCGATAAACTTTCTTAAATATCATTTCATAACTTCTTGTATGACTATAGCTTTACTGTCACCATGCATAATCATATCATAGCTTCCACTACCCAATACTGAGATATTATGATATGCTCTTTATTATCCTTTCTACTTCTTGGTATTTTTTCGCATTTTAAAAATAAATTATTTTTGTGCTTTTTGTTGTTGTTGTCTTTATATTTATTTTTTGAAATACTCCTCTTAAATGTTTGATAAAATTAGATGCAAATATTGTAGATATGTGCTGAAAATTCCACACTGTACCACTAGTACTGTTTCTGGAATAAAGCAAATTATTATTATTATCCTCATCAGGCTTAACTCTAATATGCCTACATAACTTTACAGATAAAAATTCAAATATAAACCAATCATGGTATTTTGTCTACAGGATAATAAGATGGTGAATATAAATTGTGCAATTAGTCATAATAGCAGTAATGATAATAATACTAATGGTTTTATCAATAATAAGGATGAAAAAGTGAGGTGATCTGTGATAAAACGAATAACGAAAAACAGCATGATTAAACAAACAAATGTTTAGGTAGACATTGTAGTCGATAAAGGCTAAGATAAACAAATGAACCGATTAAGTAATGCTAGATTGTAAGGGAAGTAAATGAAAGACGTTTTTAATGAAGATGTGATAAGATTAAGGGATGATAAGGGAGAGAGGTTGAAAATATAAGTAAGGGGTGGTGGAGAAGTCATCAGTTGGTTAGGTCTTAATAGGCCAATAAGGGAGGGATAATGGCTGTACGAACTTCTTTTGAATGAATGCACAGTTTAGGCTTGATAGTTCGAATGCCTATCACCTCAACTGTGTGCAGTAGACGAATACGAAGTCTATTGGAAAGATTTGGTGGGATACGATGAATTACCTTGAAAGCTTTCGTTTTCTCCACTACATGACCACTATCAATTAAATGTGAAAAATTTGACCTACGGATTGTTTTGTCTGTCCTTTGCCAAACCACGATGGGAGATGTTCACTAACACGTTGGCTGAGCTATCTGCTAGTGCGCCAAACATGACTGTCACCACAGGTATTATTTATTTATTTTTATTTATTATAGCTTGATTCCACACCGTATTTTTGCTACAAGTATGGAATTTTCAGCATGTGATATCGGTAGCCCGATTTTGCAGGCCGACCATAGATATCCGGTGTGCGCCGGCAGGGGATCGAAACCCGGACTATGTGCATGGTCGGCGAGAGTCCTAACCACTGTGCCACCGACGCACACAGGTACAGTTGAATTGATTGTGATTTCTGAAATTTTTCTTGATGATGATTTCAATATTATCAAAATCAATTTTGTGGACTTATTCTATGTCGTGTAGACCGACATAGATGACCTTTCAAGCTTTTCTAGTTCAAATGTATTTCTCGGTGGTCGAACAGAAGCTCTACGGAGTTCATTTCTTCTGATTTTGATTTCTCTCTGGCGATGTCTGTCCCATGTATATCGCATCACATTCCAAGCATTTTGCTTTATAGACACAATTAGATAGAGAATGTCTAGGGATTTGGTCTTTTATATGAACAAGGTTGCTTCGCAGTATGTCTGATATCGAGCTTATTGAGTACCCTTACGAAATCTATCGTCTGAGGAAGAAGTTATCGAAACCACAACTGTTCACTCAAAATCATGTTCTTCTGACTTTGTGTTTAATTTATCAGGGTAATTATTAAGCGTCAAAGCTTCTCTATTACGTTTTACTTCCTAGCTTAGATTTTCTTTGATACTATATAGTTCTTTCGCCCTATTACTCAAACATTCCAATAATTATATCTCTACTGAGATAGGGTCGGATGAACTGAAATCCACTTATATATATATAATTATTACTTGAACTGAAAACGCATAAATCGAACATTGTGCAATTGTGTAACAAATATATATAAAACCGACATGAAACACAGATTTCAGAGCAGAAAAACTTCGCCTTTCAGCAATTTCATATTCATAGCTGTACAGTAGACAATACAAGCAGTTCTCTTGCGTTTGTGTGAATGTGTGTGTAAAAATTTGAGCGTGAATGAAACTACCAAAATGCGATAATGCTGTTGTAGATGATTATGAATTACAAACTGATTAGACATATTGATGAATAGAGAGAAAGATCTGCGCAAGCCTCAACAGAAACGCCTAGGTAGATAGTGTACGCCTGAGTGACTCTGTGTCATATTCAGATGGAGATATTTTCAAATAATTGAGCAAAGAATATCCTTTTCGATAATTTCCTCCTCCTCTGGCTCTACAATTATATATATATATGTTTATATACATTGAATATTCTAGAATAGCTTTTTTTCCTTCACGTTTCCCAGTGGAACACAGGGCTTCAAGCTAGTGGCTTGAAGTTTCTGTAGCAGTGTTTATTTTACAGGATGGGGTTGCCATTCTCATGCCCAACCTTTCCTCTTCACCAGCATTATTTCTGGCTTAGCGATGTAAAGGAGTGCGTCGACCGGGGATCGAACTCCGGACCATGTGCGTGGTCGGCGAGCGCCCTAACCGCTATGCCACCGACGCACAATTATGTATATATATATATGTTTATATACATGGAAGATTCTAGTCAATAACAATATTAGTGTGTTTTAATTAATATCGATTTGTAAAGTAAGATCACAGTGGAATCACCACAGTTCATTAATGATGCTCAGATTATAATAATAATTAATATTTGCGTTCTGGAGTAAAAGATAAACTGCCTAATTTCGCCTCTTCCATGTGCGTCTACCAATTTAACTGCTCCTGTGGAGTGAGCCAGTTACATGGGCCATAAAATTAGGCGTGTTTCTCGTCGGATTTCCGAACATCAGCCTGTGTGGTTAAGTAAAGGACAAACAAAATCTATTCGTAGCGCTGTTCTATCTCATGTTGTGGATACAGAACACAAGATTGATGTCAACGAGGCTTTCAGGGTCATTTACCGCATACCAACAAATCTCAATTTCACCTTAAGTTTTCAACTACTAAATATTGCTAAGGCTGTTGGGATCCACATTAGGAGGCCTAATTTATTTGTCCAAAAGAAGCTAGTTCAGACATTATCCTTACCTTGGACATCTAGGTTCGAATGATCCTGAATTTTTGTGGAGTTTTCCTAATTTCAGTTGATATTCTATTTGCTATTATATTTTCATTATTATTATTAATTTAGGCATCTTTAATGAACTGTAATTCCATTGTGATCTTGCTTAACAAATCGATATTATTTAAAAACCACCAATATTGTTATTGACTACTATTCTAGAATATTCCATGTATATAAACATGTATATGTATGCAATTGTAGAGTCAGAAGAGAAATTTATTGAAAAGGATATTCTTTGCTCAATTATTTTTTTTTTATAGATGTCTGAGTGAATATTTTCGCTATATTTTCAAATGACTGAAAGTTCTGTATCCGTCAATGGAATACGAAGACACTATATGAGACAAGTACAGTTTGAAAATCAAATTAACCGGAAAAAGTACCCAAAACACCAATTTATCACAATACTTAAATCGTTTCAGATGACGTTTACTTTAAATCAACTGTCCAGCTAGCTCTATATGAATTCATATGTTTACCGGCTGTTTTGAAGTTAAGAACATATAGAACGTTCACCGAGAAACAAATCCCGTCGCTTTAAACAACAACCCCACCAGCTTGACTGAACAAAGCACAGTGTATAACAATCGATTCAACGACCTTACGCACACACGCAAAGCTTTTACTGCATTTTTCTAACAATATAGTCTCCAAAAGTCTAACAAGGTTTTCCAAAAAGAATATAAGTATTACAGGATTTTCATCATGAGCTGACATTAGTTAGAGAACCATTGGAAAACCTGGGAGTACTGGACAGCTGTTTCTGTCATCCTAGTTCGAGTCTCCTCACCAGTACGCACCCACCGTCAAGGTTAAAACCCAGGACCTTCCGGTTACAAGGCCAGTGAGCTCGTAGACGATTCAGCAGCCACTGGGACCCGATGTAGTGGCCTAGCCCATGAATTTCAACTTCTGCCAATTCACGACATAGCGTGACCACTAGATAATGTCTTCGGTGGCGACTATTCGTCCTCATTCCCGACCTGCTGCACCCTACTGGTCATGGCTTCCCACTAGAAGCCCACCTAAGTAACTACCTACATGAATAGGGCCAGTCGTTAGTGAGCATCTCATTGATATTCACGTGTCGGTTTGTAGGGATTTGATTGGTTACAGAATTTCATCATGAGCTGACATTAGTTAGAGAACCATTGGAAAACCTGGGAGTACTGAGAAATAAGCGTATCTGGTTTGTACAGAGGAAGCTTTACCAATGCATAACATAAAAAACGAGAACTGTATGTTCAAAACAAACAATTTGTACAATATTTTTCGTTACCGTGATCATAATTTTATCCTAGGATTCTCGAAACTTCTTTATCCTTCTATATATAATGTTCTGTTTTATTGTGCCTTATTTTAACTTATGTTATCAAATTCGAACATTTTTAATTTCTTTTAGTCTATTAGTGATACTCCAGTCATCTTATTTTCCCATCCTATTTTATTTGAACAGTGATCGCTTTACATATTCACATTTCTTAACGTACTTAACCTCTCTGTCATCTGTTTACGTATGCCTATTTGGCTTTGAAGTCAACTGGTAGACGGTGACGGTAGCAGTGGAATCCAGAATGTGCATTTCATCCTATTTGGGACTAGTCGTTAGCTGAGTGTACCTGCATTTCCCAGTGAGTGTATGATGGTGTTCCCACCGAGGCTCAAACCCACTGCCCATAGTTTCAAACGTCAAAGCGTTAGCCTCTGTGGAAACACCATCACTCACTGGGGGATGCAGGTATATCCAGTTGACGGGTTAGTCCTAAATAGGACGAAACTCGCATCCTGAATTCCACTGCTAGTCATCATCTACCTATTGGCTTCAAATTACATGACCAGACGTCTTCAAAGCATCTACACAAGGAGCTGACAGACACGTCAACCTTAGACCAAGCACTCAGGTCCAATCAATCGATGGAAAAAACTTATTTGACTTTGTTTACAGGATTTCATCATGAGCTAACATTGGTTAGAGTACAACTGGAAAACCAACAGGGAATACTAGATAGCTGTGTTGTCAGCTTAGTTTGGAACTCTTCAACAGTAAAAGGATTTGACAATTATTATTTTCAGCTGTAATTTACAAAACAGCTGCAATCAAGGTATTCTAAACGGCTTTTAAACGCTTAGGTGAGCTTATGTTTAAGGTACTCACCCATATCTAGAAAAGTGTATATAGGCGGTTAGTCTACGCTTCCAGAAAGAAGTGGAAATTCTGGAAGGAGTGAAGACAGTAGGCACCAAACTGATGAATCTTATCTTATGGGAGGAGAGTTGACTTCAATCCAGCTTATCCTGCATTAAATAGTTATTTGGGTATCGACCGTTTTAGCCATTTCTCTGTTATTAGGATACCTTCGAGAAGTTAACAAAACAGCTGTACAGTACTCCCTGCAGCTTTTCCAATGGTTTTCTCTAACCGATATCAGCTCATGATGAAATCCTGTAACCAATCAAGTCCCTACACACCAATGCTTGAATATCAATGAGATTCTCACTAACGACTGGCCCTATTCATGTAGGCAGTTACTTGGGTGAGCTTCTAGTGGGAAGCCATAACCAGTAGGGTGCAGCAGGTCGGCAGTGAGGACAAATACTCACCACCGAAGACATTGTCTAGTGGTCGCGCTATGTCGTGAATTGGCAGAAGTTGAAATTCATGGGCTAGGCCACTGCGTCGCGTCCCAGTGGCTGCTGAATGGTCTACGAGCTCACTGGCCTTGTGACCAGAAGATCCTGGGTTTGAACCTTGACGGTGAGTGCGTACTGGTGAGGAGACTCGAACTAGGATGACAGAAACAGCTGTCCAGTACTCCCTGTTGGCTTCCCAATATCCGATATCCGCTTTGTGTTGACCCCTCTTCCTGTTTCTAATCAGTCTGTGATTCATAATCATCTACACATCAACATTATCACACTTTCATATTATCCCTCGGTCAAATTTTAACACACACACAGGAAATCACTATTGTACAGCTTTAAAAATGAAATCATTGAAAAGAGAATTTTCTCCCTTTTGAAATCTTGGTGATATATAACTCAATGGAGATTAATTATTTCATGTAAAATTGATTAAAATTACATTTTCATATGCTTCATCATCTTCACCGGCAAAACACGATTGTGGCGTAGAGCATTCGGTATAATCCTTAAATGAAGTTACTCCACAGCATTTATGCTATATAATAATATGAAGAGTGTTAATATATTCATAATGAGAAATAAATTCATGCATACCTGTTTCTGTATTGCATCTATATAACGCTTTGAACTATTCTTAGCTTTATATTGACTTACAGCCTTCTGTATAACATCACGAAATAACATTCCCACCTAAATAACTAAACTTATTAGTAAGTATTTGATTCATTTAAACAAGAGAAAGCGAAGAATTTTAAAAAAATTCAATGTTCATTGAATATATATATATCGATTACCTTGTTGCGTATAGTCAGCGTAAATATAACTATCAGTATTCCACTAATCACGTATACTGTTAAAAGTCCTATATACTATAAGTGTATTAAAATAGAAAAGTATAGAATAGACATAGATAAACTGACTATAATGATAATTGCACGTCTGCCAGTCCAAACATTCACTACACCAATACTACCAATGGAAAAGAGTAAGCAACCAAGTGCTATCATTGCAAATGTTAAAGATAATATATGCATGTGTATATCAACAATGTATGTACTGAGGAATAGGTGAACATAACTTCCCACTAAGATTAATGTCATACCGAACGTCTAAAACACAAAGAAAAAACAAAACAACAGAATTTGTGTTATGTATTCACATAAAAGTTTAGAAATTAAACATAAATGATATTTTTCAAGTATTGGTTTGGTAGGGATTTGGTTTAATTGCATGGAGGATTTTCATCATGAGCTGACATCAGTTAGAGAACCACTGGAAAACCTCGGAGTACTGGACAGCTGTTTCGCCCTAGTTTGGGACTCTTCACAGTACGCACCCACCGGGATTCGAACCCAGGACCTTCTGGTTACAAGGTGAGCTCGTAGACCATTGAGCTACTGGGACCCGATCCAATGGTCCTTGAATTCTAACTTCTGCCAATTCATGAGGACCATTGGATTGGGTCCCTGTGGCTCAATGGTCTACGAGCTCGTCTTGTAACCAGAAGGTCCTGGGTTTGAATCCCGGTGGGCGCGTACTGATGAAGAGTCCCGAACTAGGAAGAAACAGCTGTCCGGTACTCCCAGGTTTTCCAGTGGTTCTCTAACTGATGTCAGCTCATGATGAAAATCCTCCATGCAAATAAATGATATTATGTCATCTGTCACTTATTAGCCATGCAAGTATACATTCAGCTGATGAGTTACAAAAATAACGAAATACTCATCCTGGATTCCAACGCTGGCCATCATCTGTCGATTAACATTATTATTAATCATTGGACATCATCAAGGAGTCTGTACTAGGCTCCAATATGTTAACAGCTATCGAGGATTTCACTCACTTGTAGGTCAACTAAGTGGGAAATGTAAATTAATTTAAACAGATATTATTGTTTCTTCTCGCGAACACTACCCAGCCTGGCTAGTAAAAGGAGACCAAAAACGTGTATACAGTTCAGTGACAGAACATCTGGTCAACTCAGGACATTCAGCGCCTTTCGAAAAATCCTTCAAAGTAATATACAAGATTCAATCAAACCTATCAAAGGGAGTGAAATCAAGACATCTGGGCATAGCTGAGGCGTTAGCTATCCAAAAACTCAAACCCACTCTTTGTATCCAAAAGAAATATGTTCAACCCCTGTCCCTGCCATGGCCATCATAAACAGGTAAATTTTTTAATAATGACCATCCCATCGCCTTTCTTATCTAAACTTCCTGTTTATTTTGTCATTTTACTATTTCTACATATTTAATCCCTGATTGCATAAACAATTATTCATCACATTAGTTTTTTATCCAAACATCCTGTATATTTTGTTATTTCTACATTTCTAACCCCTAATTGCACAATGTCAATCTTCTTAGTTATTATGCTAATTTGTTTGAGTTTTACCCATCCCCCTGTTTATTATGACATTCTAATTCCTAATTGTAATTTTTATTAATTTGACCCTTAACCGGAAATTATTCTGGAACTTTCCTATCCATTTGTTATAAATACACGAATGTACAGCCTAGATGATGACTTCGTCGAAAAGAAAATTTTCTTCGCTGCAACTGTCTTTTTATTACCTATGATCGAATGATAACTAGCAGGGGAATTCAGGCTGTATCTTTCATCCCGTTTGGGACTCGTCATCTGGATATACATGCATTCCTACTGAGATTTGAAGGCATTATGCATTGTTGCAAACGACAGAATGTTATCCACGAGATCAGTTGGGCCACAGTAGCTAGCTATTGAAAAATGGGCACCAATTACTAATTGTTTAATTCCACTCTGTACCTCCCATTCATCGATCATATGAAGAAGGGGGGGGGGGGCAAAATGTCCAGTTGAACATTACTCACTGTGGGATGTAGGTATATCCAGGTGATCAGCCTGAAATAGCACGCAGTGCATATCCTGGATCCCACTGCTACTTTGAGTTAATCTTCAGAAATCGTTCAGATGTCTGGACTAGAAATCGATATGTCAACAGAGACTTAACATATTGGTCCAACCAATCAACGGAATTTAAAACAAGCAACAAAGCAGGTTAATAAAGCAGGATGATTTAATGAATTCATCAAATTTCGGTAGAACTCGTCAGCTGAATACTCTACATACACGGATATATACATATATATAAATACTTTTGAAATTACATTGGGAGATATAAGACTGATAAGTAAACAAACTACATTGAATTAGTCATGCAGAAAGACAGGTGCGAATGTTTTCTTGAGGTCATGTTCAAATAGATAAGGGGAGAGAGAGTATGAGAGATCAAAATTAAGATAAATTGCATTACGCTTCAATTACATCACTTAGATAAACAATTAGACATTAGAGAATATAACAAGAATTGTAAACAGAGTAATATCAATAGTAATAGTTGTAATAATAGTAATAACAATAATACTGTTGAAGTGAGTTAAGATAATTCTACTGATAAAGGATAGTTTTAAATTAATCAAGAATAATAATAATGATAATAATAAGAGGTAGAATAATAAGTAAAACGTACTACCATGGTAGATTCAGAGACACGGCCATCTCCCTTTGTACACAGAGACCTGGTTTGTAAACTCGAATTTCACAAGCCTCTGCAATTGCAAGCATCTTCCTGTTTCTTTGTCTGCTGACAATAGTGAATGACTTGACAGTGCGTCGATAACATGTCCATAGTTCAAAAGATGTTTTGTTATTGAGGATTTTGGCACTTTGCACTCAGCTGTTTTCAACCATTTTGGAGAATGCTGCATCATGAGAACTGTTTGGATTGTTTTGCAGAGGCTATTTTCTTTAGAACATTTATTAATGAACTTCTCAGGATATCCATTCTTAGATAAAATATCCTTCAGAGATTTTATTTCATGCTCAACAGTACTGTCAGAACAAATTTTTCGTGCTCTATTGAACAGTGTTCTGACTAATTTCTTTTTATGCTGGATATCTCCGAATGTAATTTCAAAAGTATATATATCCGTGTATGTAGAGTATTCAGCTGACGAGTTCTACCGAAATTTGATGAATTCATTAAATCATCCTGCTTTATTAACTTTTATTGCTTGTTTTAAATTCGTATCGGGAAATAAATGTTTTCAATCAACGGAAAAAAAATCAAAATTTAATATCCTTTTGACAAGAGGTGATTATCATGGCTTAAATGGTCTATTGGATAACGCTTCAGCGTTTGCAACACTATGGCTACTGTGTTCCTGTCTCGATAGTGGCAAGACTAGAAAATCCACGGACATCTAGCTAATGAGTCGCAAATAAGATGAATTATATACATATATATATACATTACGAATTATACCGTTAATCACAATTTATGAAATTACTCCAAGTTAATGCTTGTCAGACTTTGTTCAGTGATTCGTACTAGGAGAAGATATTAATACATGCGTAAGACTTGGGCACTCTAGTAGTAAGTAATTCCATATTAGTCAGTATATTAGATATATCACACAGGGAAACAGTATTACTGTGAACTGGATGACAAGGTTTCGGACACAATCTATTTTTGTTCATAATCATAACATCAATTATAATCACACGACTTCGAAACTTGAGTTTTATAGTTTTCTTTGTTCTCTCTTTTAGTAGAATTTTTCAGATATCCTCGCGGACAGGTGTATTTTCATTCAGTTGATTCGATAAACAAAGCTTCCGACGCTATCAATCTCTCCCTCCACCATGCTTTTACATTAGATTTTAAAACTGTCATCTTATCCTACCCATCCTATTGTATGGTTGTGTGTAATTGCATTTAATGAGTGCTATAGCTGAACTATTCTCTAGATTTCTTATCTTTTTCGAGTCAGCTAATCTAGATTTTGCTGCTAGGCTTTTATGCTCGGCTAGTCTGACTGACTGCACCTGTTCTACTACTTTGACCTATGTATTTGACCTGACAATCATTTCAGGCAGGGTATTAGATAAACTAAATTGTTTTGTTTTAAAGGATTAGTCCTTTGACCGACAAAGCTTGTTTCTAATTGAGTTTGTGGTTGGTTTGAATGCCAGCCAATTTTATTCCTGACTGCATTGTTAAGAATTCTGTGTAAGGTTTCCGAGGTTCCTTCCTTGTATGGAATTACTACTGATGATTTAGATTCCTTATTGTTGGTGTCGTCATTATTATTATTATTATTATATCATTATTATTGTTATCATTATTATTATTATCACTATCACTACTATCATTATTAAGTTTATTTTTTTAACATTTCCTTACATATTTCCTGACTAATTTATCTGGGTAATTATTAAATTTAAAGGCTTCTTTTATGTGTATCGCTTCCTGTCTTAGATTTTTCTTGGTGCTACTTAGTTTTTGTGCTCTGTCACTTGAGCATTTCACCAATCCTATTTTTACTGACATAGGATGGGATGATCGGATGTACAAATATCTGTTTGAATGTGTGGGTTTCCTGTAAACACACTAGTGTTTAACTTCCCATCTTCTTTCCCTTTTACGTTGCAATCTAACATTGGAAATAGGAATGATTCAACACCTGTCACAGATATCTGGAAAATTCTACTACCCCAACGACGACAAATAGGAGAGAACAAAGAAAACTATAAAACTCAAGTTTCAAAGTCGTGTGATTATAATTGATGATATGATTATGAACAATAAATTTTGTTCGAAACCTTGTCATCCAGTATGTAATAATACTGTTTCACTGTGTGATATATCTAATAAACAAACTAATATGGAATTACTAACTACCATAGTGCCCAAGTTTTACACATATATATTAATTTAACCAACAAAGTTATTATTATTATTATCAAAATCAAAATTGAATTAGTTGACTTACTAAATTTATTATATTAGAAATTATAATAAGAATTTTTAAAATCCGATATTTGCACATTTTTCAAAATGTTCTTTTTGTTTTTGGCGGGATAACTGTTCAATTGGATCAATGTTTTATAGTAATAATAATAATAATAATGATATTTAGCATACACTTGACTGTTTTAAATACAAAAATGAAAGTGGTACAGTACAGATTATGACTAGTTTTGCAGCCTTGATAGATTATCTTGTACACCAACCTTCATATGAAATGAGAGTAATTGGTTGATTAACGTAACAAACACAGAAATGAGCATACCTGTTCTCATTCTGATCATTGAAACAGAATGAACAGAAATAATTTTTTTTAAAGTGTAGAAAAATGAAATGGACTTATATTTGTTTACAGTAGAATTATAGTGCGTAGTTTATGATCACAAAACACAAATAAATACCATTCAGGTTACAATAAACTCAAGAGTTTCTCTCTTTCTCTCTATCTGTCCGTGAGTTTTTGTTTGTGGTCAGACAGAGTATACTGCAACAGACACGTCAGAAGAAGGACGTATAAGTTAAATCGTCTACATTTTCTAAGATGTTTAAACAACATCACTCTGTCACTCTGTCAACCCTGACCATGATTTTAAGATCATATATAGAATCCATGCTAACTTCCCGCGTTTTCTTCGTTACAGACTTCTAAAGACAGCGGAGACGCCTTGACAATTCATGACTTTAAGCCAGACACTTTGTGTACAAAAGAAGTATGTACAATCCCTACTTCTGCCTTGGCCGTAGAGAGATAGACATTTATTTATTTATGTATTTTGTTTATTTAGTTATTCTATGTACTTTTCCCTTATTACTACGATTATTATTATTATCATTATTATTATTACTATTCTCACTCTGAATCTTTTCCGCTTGACCCACTTGACATTTTAAACCCAAAATTATTAATTTTTATATTTTTATTTTTACAATATTGAATTCTATCTTATCAAATTTCACACCATGTTATGTAACATTTTATATTCGTCTACTAATCTTATAATTATGTACCCCTTTCCAAAATTCTATACACCTTATGTATTATTCTATATACGACATTAATTATTTTGCCACTTGACATTAAACTATGATTATAATCACAAATATTTTAATTGCATTTCATACTACTATTATTATTTCATGTATTCACACCTTTGACCTAATTCCCTCACCGGATATAATTTTTATAAAAACCATATATATACGATTGTACAGCTTGATAATAAATTCGTTGTTGTAAAGAGTCTCTTCGCTGAATATTGTGTTTTTAAACAACATAAAACAATTTTGTGAGGAGAAATACCCCATTACATTTCAGATTCTCAGTTTATACAGCAGTTCAATTGTCAATATGATCACGCTTTTGTATTTAACCTTTGTTGTACTAAGGTAGATCTAAGGAGGTTGATTTAATCTTGTGTTATTGAGATGCCATCATTTATGAGATATGCTCAGATTATTTGAAATTCATCGGTCTGTTAGCAAATACAGGGTTGGTAGACTGGGGAAAGTTGATGAAGATAGCTCAGGTGGATGATTTTGATGTAGTTGTGTTCTCTGAGTTGAATGGATGGTTTATTTGCCTCACTACTAGGCAACATCTTCAGCCCATACTTCATTTTGTTGAAGTGAGCTTTCATATTTCTCCAAGAGTTTATTAGCTATCTCTCCTGGTGGGTGATTGGTTATTTTGTATGTTTTTACACACTCTAGTCTACTTTTGGTATTGGTATTGATTGTTTCCTTAACCTGAAGCTTGACTCTTTGTGTGTGAGATTTTCTTCTTATCGGTTGGTAAATTTTGTCTATCTCAATGTGTCTATTGATTGATGATTCACTGGAATACCTGGAGGGCTTCTAAAAATTCCCTAGCACATTTAGTGTTTCCTCTGTCTAATATTCGAACGTTGGTTGTCCCAGTCGAATTGATGTCCGTGATTGTCTGTATGCAGCTATATGAGCAAGGTAGTGGATGTCATGTCTTCTGATGGTTAGTTTATGTTCATGGATACGAAGACGAAGGGGACGTCCACTTTAGCCAATGTAGTGTTTTTCGCAGTTGTTACAATTTATTTTGTAGATGATGATATTTGTTATATCTTCTTTCGTTGTTGAGTCTCTCTTCCGGTTGATATAGAGCCAGCTGAGTGAAGTGATTTTGTTGGTTTGTGTGCAAAGTCAATTCCTAAAGGTTTGACGAGTCTCTCAATGATTTCTGAGATATCCTCTATATGTGATAGGGCGAATTTCCTTGTGCTTTCATTGGGGGCCTTTGATTTGGTAAACTGACTTGGAGGTATATGTCTTTTGATGAAATTCCGTGGATATCCATTCTTTTGGCAGACATCCATGAGATATCTTTCTTCAACTTTCCTTAAGATAGGAGTGCTGCAATGAGTCCTGTCCCTCTTGAATAGTGCTAGTATACAATTCCTTTTATGTGTTATTGGAATGTTGCTGTTGTAATTAAGTATTTGGTCCGTGTTATTTGATTTTCTACAAATTTGAGTTTCTAATTCCCCTGTGATTGTTCACTTGATTAAGACGTCCAAAATGGGATTTTCTTCTTGGATTCCTCTTCTCTTGTGAATTTGATGTCGTTGAAGACGTTGTTCATTAAGTTGGTGACTAGAATAAAATGGAAGCCTGTTTAAGAGATGGGTCTCGTATCTTAGCTGGACTAGTCATTCTGTGGTCATAGGTTCTAATCCTGCTGTGATTCAGAAATGCATTTCATCGCCAATTTAATAGATTTATTCTCCTTGATGAATTCAAATAAAGCAAGAACAACAGTGGATTGTGTAGAATAATCTGGTGCCATCATTTATTGCGTCGACTTCTCATCAGCTACGTGCCTAAATACAGCATAAAATAAATTATTATTATTAAGTTTATGCACAGAAAAGTTTTAACAGACTTGCAAATTTTACAGGGGGTTCCGGACTTATATACTTATATATACATGTACTTTTCACACAGGGAGCTCAAGTTCAAAGAAAGCAAACTGATGAATACAATGGTAAAGGAGTAATGTAATAAAGATGAGAGATGCGTGAGATGATGAGTAGCTAATAAATTGTTCCTTTACTTTCCCAATGGAACATAAGGTGCCTTCAAGCTAGAGCTTTGAAGTTTATGGGATGGGGTTGCTAGCCTTATTCCCAACCTTTCCTCTTTATCAGTCTTATTACTGGCTTAGTGAGGTAAAGGAGTGCCTCAGTGGCCGGGGATCGAACCCCGAACCACATGAGGCGTAGTCGGAGAGCATTATACCTCTGTGCCACCGATGCACAACAACGTACTGAGTTCAACTCAAATTATAGAAGCAAGAGACAAGCAAAATTATACTATTTCAAAGTGGGAGGGGGTTGAGGTTATGTAATCAGAAAGAAGCAGTTATCAATCTTTCCTTGCCAACATGGTAACTGGATGTCTTTATTCTCTCTTTCAGTTGGTTGCGTAACCTCAACCCCCCCATTGATATAGTGTCATTTTGCTTGTCTCTTGCTTCTATGATTTGAGTTGAATTCAGTACATTGTTACCCAATTTGTTAGTTACTCATCAGCTCACACATCTCTCGTTTTTATTCCACAACTCCTTTACCATTGTGTGCTCACACTGATTTTGTTTAAACTTGAACTACCTGTGTAAAAACTATATAAGCACACATAAACTTAATAATTTATTTAGGCACGTAGAGGATGAGAAGTCAACGAAATAAATGATGGTACCATATTATTCTGCACAAACCACTGTTGTTCTTGCTTTGTACATCTCCAACTATTAGCTATTACATTAGGAATGTTTCTGCCTTAAGTTTGAAAACGAACAAACGTATTCATTAGAAGACCATTAAAAACCACTTGGGGAATACTAGCCAGTGGTTTCGTCCTGGTTTGCTACTCTTCATCAGTACACACTCATGACCCCACTCTAGACAAAGCCAATAAGCTTAAGGTTATGACTTCGGCCTGTCAAGAATTCAACCAGTGGGTTATCAATTTTAACTTCTGACAGTTTCTCATGATTTTCAAATTTGATTGTTATTCCAAGGCGTCAAACCTCCCCTGAAAAGCTTTCTGTCTTTTATAAAATGGCATTAAATTTCTTTTTTCACTCCTTTTTAGTTGGAAATGATTTACCTATTCTGCTTTACTGCTCCCCGTTAGTCTTTCCTGGGCTACTGAAAAAGGACTATACCATCCTGAGAAGGATGTTGAAGGTAGTTAGTAGGACTAGTGGTGTAAAACTCAGTCAGCTCGTCACTACATTAGTTGAAAGGCATCTGAATACATGCGAAAAATGGTCTAAAACCATACTCTCAGACCCCCAACACCCCCTCTATTCCCAACTCTCGCCTTGTATCTCATCAGGTAGAACCAGAAATCAGTATAAAATAATTTATGCTCGTACAACCAAGTACAGGAACTCAACGATACCATATTTGGCCCGTATTCTAAGTGACAGAGACAATGTTAAACGCGAAACCTATGACTTGCTTTGTTGTTAATAACATAATTTTGGCTCTTTTATTTCTCTCTTATTTTGTATTCTATAGTGAACTCCTTCTTAAACATACTTAGCTACCTAAATTATTAACATTGGCTTACTTTTTGTACTTTACTCTATTCCTTCTTTTGTGTATCTACTGGTTCCGACTACATTAGCACTATGAGTATTACAAAATTGTCCTGTCATTAACCATCATGTAATTATTAGTTTTTGTGGTTGTTGTCTTGTTTCGTTCGGCAATATTAACTGACAATCTTGGTTGTGAACGCCATTATCACCATCTTAAAATTTTGTATTATGCAGGATTACTCACACTACCACTAAAAACACTGCATTAGACCTGACAATAAAAAACAAAACAACAACCCTGAAATGTTATTTTATGATTGTTTAGTGTTGTTTCAACCAAATTAACTGATCATCTTGGCGATAAACATTCTTAAATATCATTTCATAACTTCTTGTATGACTACAGCTTTACTGTCACCATGCATAATCATATCATAGCTTCCACTACCCAATACTGAGATATTATTATATGCTGTTTATTTTCCTTTCTACTTCTTGGTATTTTTTCGCATTTTAAAAATAAATTATTTTTGTGTTTTTTGTTGTTGTTGTCTTTATATTTATTTTTTGAAATACTTCTTTTAAATTTTTGATAAAATTGGATGCAAATATTGTAGATATGTGCTGAAAATTCCACACTGTAGCACTAGT